ATCAAATTATGAAAAAAAAAAAGTGAAAATTTAATAGACAACTTCGAAAAATTTCTGTAAGATGCTATAAGTGTTGAAAAAATGTTATCTTATTGTGTCGAATTTTCCGATAAAATCCCTTAATTTGGGGATATTTTGGAAAAACTGGTTGATAATTGGCAACCTGGCTAAGAAGTAAGCTTATTTTATAAGTGCACATTGCCGTTCAGCTACCAATTAACAGTGTGATCTGAGCCAAGTGATTAAGTACGCTCTCAGGAAATAAAAATCAAGACAAGATCCTTTTTCAAAAACCTGTCATCCTGGAGAGAAAAAATTTTGGAGAGAAATCGCTGATGTTGGTGGCGACTGTCACATTCCTCATTCCAAGAGGAATGTGACAGTCGCCACCAACATCAGCGATAGTTGACGAAAGGCTTTCAAAGTTGGATTCCAGGTGAAGTTGGGACGAAACAAAACTGAGGGTGGAACGCACTTAGATCTAAGCACTTTCCAGAACGGCCCATCTCGGCCTCTGATCAATATTCAATGAAGTCAGTTTTGAGATAGTATTTGGCTGAAAACTATCATTGCTTATGACACAGGCAATTGTTTTAACTGTAGTATAAAAAAAATACCAAAAAAGGCTATCAGTTCGTGTACAGACAGTTCGTTGAATGTGGATGTTTTTGAGGGAAAATAATTATCGAAATGATGAATACTCTTCTAATAGTCAACTGTAAAGTTTCAGTGCTCTATAAAGATAATTCGGTGGAACTGTCGTCAGACACAAAGTCCTTCAATTATTTGAAAATGAATGTTTATTACCAAATGATAAACGATACTATTAGTAAGTTACTTATCCTAATTAGTAACTGATCTTAGCCAAAGGATCGAGAAGCGGAACAAAAAACCCATTTAACAATTTAAAACATCGAGTAAAGGAAGATAGACTGTGGAATTCTGGAACAAACACATTCGAAATATTGATTGCTTATAGTTATGGGAATTACAATGTCTTCTCGTGTTTCTTTTTGGGGTAGACAAATCAACCTTCTAAAAACACTCCGTTTACTATCTTTAATTTTTGAGTTTAATATTATTTAAACGCCTTTATGGCGAAGCATAAATATAAATTATATTTAATCCTACTTTTGTTTTTAAACATGGGAGTAACGGCGCGAATGACATCCTTATAATGTGACCAAGGGATAATGTTTTTAAAATAAAAATCTATTTTTTATATCATGTTTTATCTATAATTATTTGTCTTTTGCATTTTGTTTCTTTTATTTGTTGTATTTCACAGCAAAAAAAAATTGAAGTATTGTAGTTCGAGTTACAACGAATAACTAGTTAGGCTTTTATGATTTTTCTTGATTTGAACTGATAAAATTATATATTAATAACTTGATTCTTAAGATTTATAATTTAGAATAGTTAAAAGGATAGTTGTCACTTCACACGGTGCAACAATTTTACTAAATAAGTGTTCCTAATGAATACGAAATCGAGCAGAAAGTCACATCGTGTCGCTGCATTTTCAAGCAGTTAGCCCATTAGAATTTTTCCAGTAATTTATTCGAATAAATTGGTAGTAACGTAAACTATTTCCGCCATAGGGACTCGCGTATTGTTTACAATATAAAAAAAAAGCTATCAATTTATATGTGAGATCAATCCAATCCAATAATTTATAACGGTAAACTGAAATTCTATCAGTTTAAATTAAGTATCAAATTAAAGTTTACAAAATATTTGATACAAATCATTAAAATGTTTTAANATTTAATTTAAAATATTATTTAGTCTGACAATGTCTTTTTTTGATTATAAACATAAGAATCTTTACCTTTCCAGGAAAATATTTAAGGAATCAAATTAAGCTTATAGTATTATATAATATTATTGCTCTACAAAGGCTAAATCTAGGCACCTGCAAAGCAATGTTTTCTTCAGGTAGCACATTTTAGTGGGAATTTTAAAAACTGAACCAGAAAAATAAATATTTATGTTTCTAAGCCAATTTTTAAAAATACAGTGGTAGCAAATTTATTTTCTTCAGGTGATAAAAAGAAATATATAGTAGTCCTGATTTACATACAAAAGCATTATGTTTATACATGAACACACATTTATGAACATCTTTAGTGACCACACATTGATTTAAGACAAAAAGGGTCTGAAGATCAACAACCATTGCCAATCAGAATCAAATTAATTGCCAATGTCAAACTTCGTGATCCAAAAACAGTCTCAAATTACCTCTAGAAACATATAAGAGACCAATCATTCTGTAGAGAGGACAGTTCAAGACCAATCAGAATTTGAGATCAAATAACCCAATCTAAAAACCCATATCCCAAAGACATGAGGAGCTTTCCTTCTCTCTTTCCAACAGTTCTATCAAAGCATTGTAGTGTTCCCTTCTGAGTGTGTTGCCATACACCTTCACTCAGTCCTTTGTTTAACTTGCTTGCTGAACTTTTCCTACCAGGAGGCTAGTGTGTATCTCCCTCTCACTCTGATGGACTTTCTCCATTAGTAACCAAAACGAACAAGTACACAATGCCTCCCAATATCTACCATCTCTGAGTTGTGACTAACTGTGGAGAACTGACAGGCAATCAGATGTAATCACCTAATTGACCCATATTCTGCTTGTAAAGTGTAAACATCTTTTTCTTGAATAAACAGCTTTCAAGTTGAATAAGTTTGCTTTCATCCCAAACATACACAAGCGTGTACAATTCCTTGCCAACTGTCATTCTGATTTATCATCTTTTGGACCAAAATTTCAATAACACTTTAATATTGGACCATGACTGAAAGTCATGTGATCCTCACAAGTCATTATTGTTTATTAAATTTTTCTTGTTTGTATCAATTGAACTTAAGAGACTAATATGACAATCAGTGAAGATAATCAAATGTGTTTGTTCATGCATTAAGCATATATAACTAGTGCGTAAATGTTGTAAACACCTATGATACGAGTTAACCAATTTAGGTTTTGTTAGGAACAAAATAATTTAATGTTTTGCATAAATTTCCCAGCCCTATTTTTTACTTTCCCAGCTATAATGAATATAACATGGGAAAGTATTGTAATTGTGTCAAATCTGACCTTCTAGATTTTTTGCAAATCTCAATGTTTTAAGAGCTCCTGAACCCAGAAAACTCTAGCTGCTAGAGCTGCAAAGAGTTGCATAATTTTCTTGTTTGATATGAGATTTTATCTAAAAATAACTTTTTATATTATTAATTATTATAAAATGGCAAAAAGCTTCATTTTGAAAGTAGTGATGAATTTTAAAAAAATAGGAAGTAGAGCTCACTGTGTGCAGTGTTATTAACTATTTTTCTTTTTTAGCACTTTCAACAAATATATTTCTGTTGTCTTCAGATGAAAAATAGATTTTTATATCAAACATGAACATTCGAAACAGAAAAGAACACATACAAATTTAAATAAAATGATTTTTGAGCCACATTCAATATAAATCCGCTACGATTTTCAAATACGAACGATGTTATGAATGTGATGTAATGCGGTGCATGCACAGTGCTGGTCACGTCAATGGTGTGACAAACGATGTAAATTGCTGTTTAACTGTTTGTATAGCGCAATCCATATGTTCATCAGTTCCAGAGTAGGTGTGTTGAATGTTTCCGAGGTTGTTATGACTAAAGACTCCTATATAAAGAGGAGCTTTTAGTCACTGTAGGCCCTGAGTATAGTAGACTGGGCCCATAATGGGTTATAATTCATGTCACACACCCTTCTTGTGAGTTCTGTATTGCACCTTCCTTTTGTCACATCCTCCTGGTGTTTGGTCAAGTGGGTAGCCAGCATTCTTGCTGTAGCCCCAATGTTGTGTTGTTCCCGATTATGGGATTTTCCAATGGAACCATATCCTGACTTCTCAAAGATGGAGAACTTATCTCAGTCATTACAGAGGAGTCTGCACAAACTTGGTAACGGAGAAAGGGGCAGGAGCAATAATAGTAATATTCCTATATCTATTACTTGGCATGAGTACCATACTGTATTATAATTTTTAAAAAATTATAAATGTTAATAATGAGTAAAATCTTCATTAAGTCCAAGCTTTCTTGAGATATAACATATGACACCCCTCTATCTCCCTCTCAACCTTTAATCACCAAAATTTAATATCAGAGATTAGATAATGAAATTTGGCATGGTAACTTTTATATATGAGGCAGTGATGCTATTAGGTTTTGAGTATGGAACTTAATGTGGGGAGATATAAAGATCATGTATCCTATCTCTAGTGAGGTCAGACTTAATGAAAATTTTACTCATTATTGGTATTTACAATATTTTTTAAAAACTAATCTCTACCCTCAAAATTTAACCTTTTTTGCTTTTCTATAATCAATCAATCGATATATATTATAAAGATAAGTGTACAATGTACGTGCCACTAAAACTCAAAAACGAGTCCCAGTACAATCAAGGGAGTTATGGTGTGGTAGCCCTCTATCCCCATCCATGAAGAAGGTTCCCGTTTTTACCTGAAGGGCATGTTGTTGAAGATATAAGGGCTGGAAGTTTCGCCCTCTAGAAATTTCTAGAACAGTCCAGAACATTCAAGAGTATTCAAGAGCATTCCACAACATTCCAGAATGTTACAGGATGTTGAACGGTTAGGAGTTGAAAGTTGAAATTTGGTATACGGTTAGGGTATGTCATGAGAATGGACACTAAGAAGGGATTTTTCGAAATTCCACCCCATGGGGGAGAGGGATGGGATTAAGGCTTAACACTTCCATCAACAATGAAAGTGTTACTTAACAATGGAAGTGTTAAGAGAAAGCAACGTGCAAGATGCAAATGCAGTTTTTTTTTTGTTTTTGCAAGAAATCAAACATATTTTTAGACCCATTTAAAAATTCTTTAATTAGTCTGGAAACGGGCACCCAATTCTTGCATTCTGTGAAAACGGGTAAGGTTGACTATAACATAATAATCTTAATCTTCACTATCATTACTTTTGCCTGAGCAATGCTGGGCTTATCTGCTAGTATTTATATAATATAAAAGTTATTTTTAATAAAATTTCATAACAAATGGCATCACACACAATTTTAACTTCCAGTTAGCATCTTAGTCTTTTTTAGACTTAAATATATATATAAAATTTTAATATAAAAAAATACATATGTATATAAATATATAATAGTTTTAATTTATCAAAAAAGGATACATTTCCTCTGAGATTTTATAAAGTGGTCTCATTGATGCACTGATTTCTTCACATTTGGCCATTAGTTGATACATAGACTGAAGAATAAATACAAGATTAACATTTCAATTTTAAAATTAAATAATGTTTTAAATAAGTTATTTATTTATATCAACTAAATCTCTTTACCTTGATATTAGTATCTACTCCATTACATGTTTTAAATACAGCTGTTTGATAAGTCTCCATACAATCTACTGTTAATGAAGAAATCTGAAATAGATAATTTTATATATATAAAATTATACCAAGGTATAACACAAAATCTATAGATAGATATCAATAAATTACACTCTGTAAAGTTCCACTTAAATTTTCCAACATGGTATCTAAACAGGAAGCAACTTTACATGCATGCACTTCCAGATCCACAATTGCACCGGCATCTACGGTTGGGACGTGTGGCTGGAGTGCCTGTCGATAGAGACTAGGTGTAGATGAACGAGATCCAGGAAAGGAAGGTGTATCTGAAAAGTTAAAAAACGTAATATTAAAGTTATAAATAAAGTAAATTAATACGTAAAAAACAATTTATAAAGATATAAAGGGCGTTGATCAATTAAGATTAAAAAGAATATTATTTTATAAAGCAACACAGAAACAAAAGATCTGAAACTTTTTTAATTTTTCAGGAGATATGCAGAAATTGTAACATCTAAACAGCAGTAGAAAGGAATATGCAGTGAATTGAACCCATATTGAAATACATACATAATGTTAATCTATTTTAATCTTATAAATTTCTTTTTCAAAATGTTTTGATTGCATATATCAACTTTTGTATCTTAAAACAATTTTCTATATAAAATTTAACACACTTTTCTTAATTTTTTAATATATTTTAATCATTTAAACTGCACAGATTCCTTCTGAAATCTTATGATAAATCTTTAATTTTAATTTATACTTGTTGTTATTAATCTCAAAGATGGAGAACTTATCTCAGTCATTACAGAGGAGTCTGCACAAACTTGGTAACGGAGAAAGGGGCAGGAGCAATAATAGTAATATTCCTATATCTATTACTTGGCATGAGTACCATACTGTATTATAATTTTTAAAAAATTATAAATGTTAATAATGAGTAAAATCTTCATTAAGTCCAAGCTTTCTTGAGATATAACATATGACACCCCTCTATCTCCCTCTCAACCTTTAATCACCAAAATTTAATATCAGAGATTAGATAATGAAATTTGGCATGGTAACTTTTATATATGAGGCAGTGATGCTATTAGGTTTTGAGTATGGAACTTAATGTGGGGAGATATAAAGATCATGTATCCTATCTCTAGTGAGGTCAGACTTAATGAAAATTTTACTCATTATTGGTATTTACAATATTTTTTAAAAACTAATCTCTACCCTCAAAATTTAACCTTTTTTGCTTTTCTATAATCAATCAATCAATATATATTATAAAGATAAGTGTACAATGTACGTGCCACTAAAACTCAAAAACGATCAAGGGATCAATCAAGTACAATCAAGGGAGTTATGGTGTGGTAGCCCTCTATCCCCATCCATGAAGAAGGTTCCCGTTTTTACCTGAAGGGCATGTTGTTGAAGATATAAGGGCTGGAAGTTTCGCCCTCTAGAAATTTCTAGAACAGTCCAGAACATTCAAGAGTATTCAAGAGCATTCCACAACATTCCAGAATGTTACAGGATGTTGAACGGTTAGGAGTTGAAAGTTGAAATTTGGTATACGGTTAGGGTATGTCATGAGAATGGACACTAAGAAGGGATTTTTCGAAATTCCACCCCATGGGGGAGAGGGACGGGATTAAGGCTTAACACTTCCATCAACAATGGAAGTGTTACTTAACAATGGAAGTGTTAAGAGAAAGCAACGTGCAAGATGCAAATGCAGTTTTTTTTTTGTTTTTGCAAGAAATCAAACATATTTTTAGACCCATTTAAAAATTCTTTAATTAGTCTGGAAACGGGCACCCAATTCTTGCATTCTGTGAAAACGGGTAAGGTTGACTATAACATAATAATCTTAATCTTCACTATCATTACTTTTGCCTGAGCAATGCTGGGCTTATCTGCTAGTATTTATATAATATAAAAGTTATTTTTAATAAAATTTCATAACAAATGGCATCACACACAATTTTAACTTCCAGTTAGCATCTTAGTCTTTTTTACACTTAAATATATATATAAAATTTTAATATAAAAAAATACATATGTATATAAATATATAATAGTTTTAATTTATCAAAAAAGGATACATTTCCTCTGAGATTTTATAAAGTGGTCTCATTGATGCACTGATTTCTTCACATTTGGCCATTAGTTGATACATAGACTGAAGAATAAATACAAGATTAACATTTCAATTTTAAAATTAAATAATGTTTTAAATAAGTTATTTATTTATATCAACTAAATCTCTTTACCTTGATATTAGTATCTACTCCATTACATGTTTTAAATACAGCTGTTTGATAAGTCTCCATACAATCTACTGTTAATGAAGAAATCTGAAATAGATAATTTTATATATATAAAATTATACCAAGGTATAACACAAAATCTATAGATAGATATCAATAAATTACACTCTGTAAAGTTCCACTTAAATTTTCCAACATGGTATCTAAACAGGAAGCAACTTTACATGCATGCACTTCCAGATCCACAATTGCACCGGCATCTACGGTTGGGACGTGTGGCTGGAGTGCCTGTCGATAGAGACTAGGTGTAGATGAACGAGATCCAGGAAAGGAAGGTGTATCTGAAAAGTTAAAAAACATAATATTAAAGTTATAAATAAAGTAAANTCTCCCCGAGACTCGTGCCTAGAAAACTTCAGGTCATCCGTACATCTACCAGCCACGTCCGTCCAAGCTTCTCCGCCTACTCGGAGGAAGGGAGTGTGAATCCGAACACAGGACATCATCCTTCTCCGTCGAATTCTTCATCAAGGAAGCCCCGGGACACCCTCCAGCACCCGACGTCCAACGTTCCTAAATTTTGTTATTCATATTATGTAAGTTAACTTCATGTCAAAATAAACGGTTTTCGTGTAAGACACTCGTCATCTCTGTCTCCTACTGCCACCACCCACATACGGTTTGACCCTAGGTTTTCCTGATGCGCAATTAACGTATTGCCCCAAAATCGGCGAACTTACATATTTTATTTTTAATTGTAGCCCTTATATCATGGCTAGCGATTCAGAATGTAATTGNCACTTTTTTCTGTTGCAGTTCTTTAAAAGAATTCATTTTATAAAGAATTGAAAATTGACAAGAACATGGATCTAATCTAAATAAAAAGAAAAACTATATGTAATAATGGCATGAAATTTGGCAGGAAGCTAAACAACAATAGTCTATTACACATCCCAGTTCATGCAAGTTCAGTACATGGCTGACTGTAGTGCCACATCACCAGTCCTGCAACTTTTTGACTGCACCCTGTATTATCATTATTAATTAGACTAAAATAATTAAAAAATGCTAAATCTCAATATTAGTTTGTTCTAAATATTATCAATACTTTATATTCATAACATATTTTTTTAAATCAATAATAATTTTTTACTAGTAAGAAAATGAAGTATAGTAAAAAAAATAAGAATAACATAAAATTTATTGTTAATTCACTATTACCTAATTATGTGATTAAAATATATTTCTTTCAGTTCAGAAAAAGCAGGTAAATTATTATTATTTAAGTCTATTATTTAGTAATTTTTTTCTATTATTTTAATCATTATTATTAATACACCATTTGAATTTAAACAAATAATTTAAAAATTAGTTTATTTTTACATAGTACTTAATTTCAGAATTAAAAAAAATAAAAAAGTTTATCTTTAAAGTATTTATATAATTACAAAAATAAATAAATTTATCAATATTTCACAATATTGATAAATTTCACTTTAAGTTCCTGAAACACCTTTTAACAATCAGACTTTCATTTTTAATTTAAAATAATATCTTTAACATCAACAATAACAGATAATTCTTGTGTGTAAAAAGTAAAATAATTTTAAGTAAAAAATTTGAGTGAATATTTAAATAAAAATTTCAAATAAACAAATTAAAGCTTTATCAAGTAATTAGATCTCATAAGTAATTGCAATTACCTTTCAGTTATTTCTGTCATTATATAAACAAACAAAATTCAGTTTATTGCAATATTGAATTTTATTTATTTATACAGCACTCTAATCCAAACTAATTATTGTATGGGTTTCTTTAATTAGCAGGTCCAGGTACAAAGAAACGAAAGTTAAAAAAAACTACAGCTAAAAAATCAATTTTGCTACACTATCTGCTAGCACACTAGACCTCAAGGAAAATGAACCAAAATTAAGTATTTTGGTTCAATTTCAATATTATGTATTTTAATTATGTATTTGAAAGAGTAGCTTACTTTTTGCATATCCATTGCATAAATATCTTTATTTAACAAGATTACAGGTTTTGATAAATTGTTAGAGTTATATTAGTTCGAAAATACAGGAGTACCCCAGATTACGTACATAATGCATTCAAGCAAATAGTAGTATCATGAGTTGCCATTTCTTGTGCATTTATTTTTTTATTTAAAGAAAGTTTCACCTCATGAAAGTTTTCAAACAATGACCACTATGGTTTCCTGCCCCAGCATTCCACAGAGGATGCCCTTGTTAAATCATGTGATACTTTACAGCAAAAAAAAAAATTTATGTCTCTGTTAATATTTCTAGATATCAGAGCACATCTGACAATGTGTGGTAACTCTCTATTTTAAAACTTATTAGAGATGCCAAAGTATCATAAAATATTTTCTACTTACTTAAGGATTTCTTAAAAGACAGAACAGCTGAGCTTAAATTGGGCTTTGTTAAAAAAAAAAATCTGCTTCTAAATAAAGGCTGTCCTCAAGGCTTGTTATCTTGATTCTTACTCTGAAATGTTATTATAAATGACTTGCTAATTAAATTATAAGAATTTCTGTTCATCAGTTATAAAATCAGCTATATCATTAAAAAGTAATTATTGACAATTTTCCAAATTTTCTTAGAACCCAGACACCTGGACATGACACAAAAACCAGATAGGTGGCAACACTTGGAATGGACAGTGTCATATCGGTAGGGATAGCTAAGGCAGATCATGATAGGAGTAAAAATATATGATGGTTGTATCTGTGGTTCATTTTATCATGAAATGGTTGTAAACTGGGATGCCTAGATTTTCATGTTTTTAGCTTTTATGCAGCTTTGACCCAGGAGGAGTTGGATGGTGCTTTAGAACAAATTGTGAGGGAATTGATAGGAAAAATCCAGCAATGAGTTGTTTAACTTTCCTAGCAACATTTAAAATTGTGTGTGTAGTGCCATCTGTTATGACATTTTATTAAAAAACTTTTCCTATTTTTAATTATTATAAAATGGCAAAAAGCTTAATTTTGAGAGTAGGAATAAGTTTTATAAAAAATTGTAAATGATAATAATGAGGAAAATCATCATTAAGTCTGACCCTATTTGAGATATGATATACAACCCCTCCCCTTTATCTCCCCATCCATCCCTCCTTTCACCATCAAGATTTAATATTACCAATTACCTAATACACTCCTAATGCAAAATTTCAGAAATTTTTGAAAAAAAGCACAGGAGTTATTAAGTTTCAAAGAGAATAAACAAAATAGTGCCCCTCACATATACTCACATCCAAACATTCAGAAAAAAACCCAAATTTGTTTGCATTTCCCGACATTGAGATCTAGAGTCCAAAAATGTAAAAATCTTTGGGGTCATTTTTGACTGATCGTCATATTTACCCTCTATTATATATAACAAAGTCGGAAAGTAAAAACACTGATTATGACACTGAATTAGAAGAGTGTGAAATTATAGAAGATAATCAAAACAGTGACTCCAAACTATTAGCTGATTAGACTGATGACTTTTTTGTAGAAGACAAGAATAGTAATATAAAATTGATCTATCAAGAATTTGATAAAAGCATCTGCAACAAACACATTCACATAATCACTATATGTGTAATGTGAGAAGGTGAGCAACAGATGAAGGTGGAGTGACCTATTTTTAATTATCTAGATAATTTATAACCACATCTGTTCAATAAAAAGTTCTAAAATTAATTCTGTCTTTTATTTTATTCACATTTTCAAAAACAAAATTAAATATTGGAGGATTTGAAGTAATATTACATATATGGTGTAGTAGCTGCAATGCATCCTCTCATGAATCTCTAAAAAGGCATGCCAACCAAAGGGTTAATGCTTACCAACTAATCCACTGTTACCATTACCAAGAATTTTATATTTCATAAAACTTAGTCATTTTACTTCTCCTATATACTGAAAATGATTTATAACAATTGTAGTACTTAACAGTTGTTAAAATATTCATTTTTATAATACATATTAATTTAGCTTTAAAAATGCTATATCAAGAAATAATTCAAGCTTTTTTTTTCTTTCAGATTTTAAAAAATGACATAAGCAGTATAATTTACAATAAATAAAAAGAACTAGAAAACAATAAAATCATTCCTTTTAACCTTTTTACTTTAAATTATAAATATTAAAATTGTTATTCATCAACAATATTTATAAAATAAATGCAATGTACGTAATGTAAATTTAAGAAATTGCTTGTCATCATCTTACGTAATATAATATAAAGATTAAAATTCTTCTTATTTGCTGAAATCAATTTTACTAAATAGGAGTTACATAAGATATCACTGCAATGATAAAACGTGGAAACATTTTTGAAGTTTATCAATCAATGATTCATATAACATACCCTTTTTGTTTCTTAAGAATTTATACAATAATTATATATATAAATCATTCTGAAATTCTATATCTTTTTTGTAAATGATAAAAACAATCAAAAGTATAAAAAGAAAGAAAACAATCACCCACCAGCCCAAGACCTGGAGACGGGACTGCTCATCTTAATCTTCTCTTGGAGATCTTCGGCCACAAAAGAGACCATATCTCCATCTACAGTAACCATTCCCTGAAGTTCCGAAAGCCCGCTGGTATCGCTTCCACCTCCTGTGCAAGAGAATTCTGAACTGAGCGAAGGAGAACCTTCCAGACTCGTAGTCTGACTGTCCGAAGTCTGCTGACATTTATTCTGTAACCTCTTCCATGGTTCTTCGCCTTCACCTACAGAAAATGTCTTTTCTATTCCCTTTTCTAGAACTAGACTTGTGGGCCTTTTATCTCTTGTTTCAACTGTGGGATTACCTTCGTCGTCGCTTTTCCTTTCACTTTTGGATCTCTTCTTAACTTCTTCACTATCTCCAGCATCTCTATCCAATGATATCTCGCCGTAAGAGCCTGCCATGATATCAACCGAGATATCATCGTTGTATTCTTGATCTTGGTATCTTCCATCAGCTGGTCTCTCCACATTTTCGCTCTCGTTCTTTTCCAAACTAATTTTAGTGTTAAAGTTGGACGCGTTGTCCAACGACATACAAACAATTTCTTCTGAATTCATGGATTACTTACGGCAGCATTTAGATGATCATTCAAAGACTGCATTTCTGTTTGTTTACAGAAAAAGAAATCACACTCGCTACACCGATATAAGTCGTCATTTCGGAACAGCGACATCTTTAGTCGTAAGTTCGCTCGTTTTAATAAATCAAAATCGAAAATTATAAAATATATTCCTTCTTTTTCGTCTTCTGTCTGTTTCATATAAAATATATTTAATTAGATTTATTTTTGTTTTAAATATTACTCTTTATCATTTAAGTATTTAAAAATATAAATAAAATTATTTTCTTTTAAAATAT